TCAATATAAAAAATAAAAAATTATTTAGTTTCGGTTCTTATTCGGTTCTTCGTCTAGATCCGAGACCCGACCCAAACCCATCGGTTCTCGATTCGGGTACCCGTTCGGGTATTTTATTTATGAAGAACCGCTCGGTTCGGTTCGGGTTCGATTGGGTCCGGTTCGGTTCGAGACTTTTGGACACCCCTATTCACATTTTAACCCAAAATTCCTAAATATTTGTATGCCACATCATCAAATTGTTAGTCCATGTACAATTTGTGAAATTAACCCTTCCAAGAAGTGTTGCTTGAAAGAGAGAAAATTTAAGCACACTAAAAGTAAAAAATGTCTAAATTCAAACTCTGTTCATTTTTGCGACGCTTGTGGGTAACAAAAAGGCCATAGCATGCAAGCAACATAATTATAAGACAATATTGACTTTAATAAAAAGTATGGTCCAAGAAATGATGTCAATGTGCCCCATTTTTCTGTTTTTAAAAGAAACAATAGCGAGTGATTTACGTAAATTTATAGGAAAATGTTTATCTTACCTTATGATTTGTGAATGATCCTTAAGGCATTCCTTGGCTTAACGAGGAAATATTTTGTTACGATGACATCATTCGAGTTCCATTTTATTTTTGAGATTTCTAATGAATCTTGAAAATTGAAAATTGAAAATTAGTTCGATATTGGTGTAGTTGCCGCTCACTTCGTAGACTCGTGAAGTCATTTGATTAGAGATAAGAGTTGGTCGAGAATTGATAGCTTATAAATTTTTATTAGTTTATTTTAACTAAATATTGTTTTTATTGGTGACCCCAAAAAATGTTGCCAATAGATGTCAGGATTACTCATGTGCATGTAAGCTAAATCCAACACGTTAGTGTCAATCAGTGATCAGAATGTCTCCAAAATCTGAACGTGAGAGGAGCTCAAAGACACAAAACGTTTCTGTTCAGGCTTCCAGCGAGATATCTAGAACACGATTGTATAAGAAACCAATCGATAAAGAACAAAATTTGCGCTAGATTTGTGCTGATAAACGAGAGAGACAAGAGAATAATATTGTTTCAAATATTTAGAATTTCATTAACATTTTTGTGTTACATAGTGGAGGTATTTATAGTGTTACAAATGAAATAAGGACCTTTGGATCAATTTTACAAGTGGCACCATCTCCTTGGCCAAGACAACAACTCCTAGCCATCAAGTTGACTCTCCTAACATTATAAGACATTAAATATTCTTACATTGACAAGACAAGACACAAATAAACCTTACACAAAAGTTACATCAATCATTCAAACTTAAGATCTTCATCATAAGCAAATCTTCACATGTGGACCAACGCTAACTGCTGAAGAGCCTTGGATAGTGAGGAGAGGTGTCCTGGGTCTCGGATAGTGCATGGCCTTAGAGGAAGGGCATCGACTAACAATGAAAGGCTAGAAAAATGGGCCTTGGTATGACTCCGAGCCTCGGTTGACACGTTAGAGGCCGAGAAAACATATCCTGATTCAATTGGGTTGGTCCCACCATTCAAATATGACGTCACTTGGTGATTTTATTTATAAGTCGTAACATTTATCTTTTCATGCATTGCTTATATGATTTGCGAGGGGTATTAATTGTTATTTATAGCATTATGGAACTGGCTTTTCGATCAATGTCGTATTAGAATCGACAAAGATACTGAATTTAAATTTTATCGTTATTCATTTCATAAAATTATGCGCTTAAAATACTTTGATAAAAAGAAAATAAATTGTTATGTAAAATATAAAAAGCAGGTGTATAAGACAACGGGAATTCTCTAAATGGGTTGTTCAAACAAATCTGTCATATCATTATCATAAATAATAATGTATACTTATTATTTTATTTTTGTTGCTTGCATTCATTGAACAAAAGATTTTGAGAAAGTTCTGGTCTATTCAACCTCGTAATATATGTTAATTTATTATTTTTAGACAAATACAAATTGATGGCTTTAATATCTTAACATATAATTGGTCATACCCGCACTTGAATTATTGAATCTAATTCAAGTCTTGAAGTTGCTTTTTTTTCAAATCTAATTTTTCAAAGCTTTCTTCTATTTTACGAATTCTCTGAAAGTTCTAGATAATCAAAGTTAATGGCAAATTATTTGACTAGTGTTCAAACTGACTGGATACAATTGGATTGTAGGTTAACCAACGACTGGACACGAGGCTCCTTTTGATTGGCCTGCAAGAATGCCCACTAAATTGAAATAGTTACGAGAATAATGTTATTTAGTACTACCGATGCTACAACAATGTATGTAACACAGTTTCATTGGATATTTTCATGACAAGGTAAAGCATTTGACGAATAAGATAAAGAGTAATATATATATATAGACATACAACATAGCTCTTGTTAGGTTGTTCTAAAAATTAAATTTTTAAAAGATATTGATAAAAGTTAATGAAAAATTGATAAAATTGTGGGTCCCATAAAATGTGTAGTTAAAATTATTTATTGATTTTGACTTAAATTTTATTAAAATTTTTAACTAAACAAATAGGAGCCAACTATGCAAACTTAGCAATTATTTGGATAGATTTACGTAAATTTATAGGAAAATTTTTATCTTACCTTATGATTTGTGAATGATCCTCAAAGCATTCCTTGGCTTAACGAGGAAATATTTTGTTACGATGACATCATTCGAGTTCCATTTTATTTTTGAGATTTCTAATGAATCTTGAAAATTGAAAATTAGTTCGATATTGGTGTAGTTGTGGCTCACTTCGTAGACTCGTAAAGTGATTTGATTAGAGATAAGGGTTGGTCGAGAATTGATAGCTCATATGGAACTGTCTTTTAGATCAATTGGCTCGATGTCGTATTAGAATCGACAAAGATACTGAATTTGAACTTTATCGTTATTCATTTCATAAAAATTATGAACGTAAAATACTTTAATAAAAGGAAAATAAATTGTTATGTAAAATATAAAAAGTACATGTACAAGACAAACGTGAATTCTCTACAGGCATGTTCTCCTGTCCACGATGAAAAGTCTTATTATGCATACTCGGAGAGAACCCAACGTTGGATTCTCCTGCCACATCAGCAGGTGGGTAGAATAATTCTGCCATCGTGGGCAGGAGAATAATTCCAGAATTCTCTAAATGGGTTGTTCAAACAAATCTGTCATATCATTATCATAAATAATAATGTATACTTATTATTTTATTTTTGTTGCTTGCATTCATTGAACAAAAGATTTTGAAAAAGTTCTGTTCTATTCAACCTCGTAATATAT